GCTCTAGGCCCAGCCACCCCACCCGGCCGGATGCCCCATCCTCAGGCTCAGTCACTGGGAGCCTGGCATTCCCAGGGACCCAGGTGTTTCTGGCTCCCCTGGGCAGAGGGTCCCCATCAGGGTTAAGCTCTGCCAAAACCTAGTGAGCCAGACTCTGCCCAGAGGGCACCTCTAACCCCGGTTGCCTGGCAGGGACTTCTCACCAGGAGCTGGGGTGGGGAGCTCTCCCACTAGTTTCCTATGGGGCTCTCTGCCCTCAGCCAGGTGTGCTGGCAGCATCCAATCTCATCCAAGAGCCCATCACCTCAGTGTCCTGGCCCCATGGCAAGGGGAGGGGTTGGTCCCCAGAGCAGCAGCATCTTGGCAGTGGGGGTGAGGTGAGGCGGGGTCAAATGGAGACTTAAATCCCCCTTTCAACTGGGGACAGGGAAACCTGCCATGGCCCAGGACATCTTGGAACGTTCCACCTACCTGGCCTTGTCCCCATCACCTACCTGCCTGCCCAGGGACCCTCACCCTGCACCAGCCGCGCTGGACCAGCCACAGGCTCTGGGGAGCTGCATGGCCTAGCTCAGGGGCTGGGGAAATACCAACACAGAGCAAAAGGCGGAGCAGGGCACACCCCTAGATTCCAGCCCCCCCCCCCATCCAAGCAGAAAATAAACTCTTGCCCTGTCAGGGCTCCCAGCTCCCCAAGTCCATCCTGGCTGCATCCTTGGCTGCTGGCCCGAGGGATCACCCCACACACTTCCTTGCAGCAGGCACTCAGCATTAGAGACCCCCCCCCCTCCTTCACCTTCCCAGCCCCACACTACAGGGGCCAGAGGGCTCAGACCCATGTACCCCAGAGTCCTAACCCCAACCACCTCAGCCACCTTAGAGCTGGAGATCCCATTGCTCAGCAGGGTTCTGAGCCCCATGGAAATTGGCCCCAGAGCCAGGCAGCTCATCTGGGGCCATGACCCCGGTGCTGACCACCCGGTCTGTGCTTTCTATGAGGTTTCACATGCATGACGGCTGAAAGAGCAGCAGGGGGCAAGGGGCTTTTGTGCTGTTTGGCCCCACTAGGCCTTGCCTAAATCCTCCACCAGGGCAGAGCAGGACCAGCCAGGTTTGTGGGGGCAGGGAGGCTCCTGGGGCTTCAGGGACTCCTCTCTCCAGGGGCCAGTGAACTTGGGCGGGGGAGGGGAGAGGACAGCTCCAAGGGCATTGGGATCAGGTTGAGAAGCTGTTACGTCCCATGACGTGCGAGGCCCAGATGGGTCCCCGGGCTCCATGTGGGTCCCTGCGCTGGCTGGTGGCTCCCTGGCATCTGGGTGTGTGTAGATGTCTCTCTCTCTCCAGGGACAATGGCAGCTTTTCATGGGCCAGATGCTGGGGGAGTCTCTTCCCCATGCTCACTGCAGTCCCTATCCCGGTCCTGCCAGCTGCTCTGTGCCAGGCTCTGACCAGGCTCCCAGCTCCCCTGCATGGGCCCAGAGTGGGGCAGGCATGGGGAGCGCTAGATCAGGCTGGGCTCCAAGTGCTCAACCTGGATTTGACCAAAAAGAAGACGAATGGTGACGTGAGCTAAGAACCGCTGTAAGGATGGGCCTGGGTCGCAGGCTTGCAGGCAAAGGCCAAACAGGATCTGAGAAGTGGGCGAAGTAGCTTGATAAATGCAGAGTGGAAATACAGTGTGAATGTTCCCAGCAAGGTAGACAGAGGGAGTCTCCTCTGCTGGACAGTTTTCCATCTCCACGGGCTGGTTTTCTAGCAGCTCTGCTCTGGTACAGCCAGGAATTCAAGCAGGAGATTCTCTGGCCTGGCCTGTGGCACACAGGAGGTCGGACAGGAGGTCGGACTAGCTGAGCACTGTGGTCCCCTCTGGCTCTAGTGCTGGGCCTAGCTTAGAGCCGACCGTCTCCAGTGAACCTCATGGCTAGGGCAGGGCAGGGAGATGGGGGGGTTGTAAGGACTAGAGCAGCCTGGTGCAGCAGATTTTCGCAGGAGACACGTGTCACACTGGACAGGTTGCAGCGAGGGACACGCAGCCCCTGCTTGGTAACATGTAAATTTCCCAGCACTGGGGGGACTCCAGCTTTGTTGTTCCAGTCCTTCATCACACAGCCTGTCCATGCAGGGAGACCCTAGCAGTGTGGGGTTCCCGCAGAAACTCCCGTCCCCCTCCAGCATGACACACGGAGACTCCAAACCACAGGCTCAGGGTGCCAACATCTCCAGCCCCATAATCCTGTCATGATCACCACCCCAATGGGCTCTCTGGGGCCGGGGGAGGGGAGTGTTCAAGGACACCCCTTAACTCTCAGACCTGGAACTTTGATGCCAACGAGACAGTCGCTCTGTGGAGCAGAGGCTGAGCTGGGCTCAAGGCTGGGGCTCAGGTCAGGATTCAGGTTTCTCTGTCTGGTTCCATTCCACCTGGGCCCCCATCCCCTAGGTTCTTCCAGGCGGCCTGGCACTGGAGTCTCCGTGTGTCTTGCTGGAGGGGGAGGGGGCACTGGCCAGCGCTGCCCTGCAGTGCTGTCATTTGCAGCAGGGCAGGGAGATGTGGGGAAAGCAGGGTGCAGCCGCGGCCCCCCCACGAGTTATGAGGTTGCACTGAAGGGTGGGGAGTCAGGCCCAGTGCTTTAGCTCTGCTGGGCTTCCCACCTGCCCTCCTCTGTGGGTCCTGCCCTCAGAGCACAGGAAGGGAGATACCTTTTTGGCCCACGGATGAGACTGCCAGCCAGGACTCCCAGGTTCATCCCTGACTGGGAGAGACCTAGTGGTCTAGTGGTTAGAGCAGGGGGGTGCTGGGAGCCAGGACTCTTGCCTTCTATTTCTGCCCAACTGCACGGGCTGGTGGGCAGGTCCCTTCCCCACCCCGTGCTGGCCCTGCCAGAGACCCACTCTGCCCTGCATGTGTTTGTATGTGTCTGCCCCCCGCCCGCCCTCACACAGGATATTGGGCTGGGAAGGCGTGCGGCGAAGGCACCTGTTTTCCGTTTGTTCGTTCGCTCGCGCTGGGAGATAAGCAGGCGTCGGAGCCGCCGCGCTGACAGGAAGCGGGAGGGGGGTCTCTGTGGGACCAGCACAATGCGCCGCAACGCTGCATTGAGCCCTCTGCAAACAGCCAGGGACCCGGGCGGGCGTCAGCCGAGCGTCTGTGGGTACCGTCCTGCTGGGTTCTATCCCTGTCACCAAGAGTGAGTGCGGTCTAATGATTAGAAGGGGATGGGGGGAGTGACTGGGAGCCCGGACACTTGGCTTCCATCCCCAGCTCTGGGAGGGGAGTGGGGTCTGGTGGCGTCTGGCCGGAGCATGGACTGGAAACACATGGCCAGGATTCTATTCTCGGCTCAGCTATTGGCTGCCTGGGTGATCCAGGGCAAGGCACACTTCTGCTCTTTGCCTCAGTTTCCCCCTCTGTAAAACTGGGACAATGACCGCTGAGCTCTCTTCCCAGCTCCGGGAGGGGAAAGGGCTCTAGTGGTTAAAGCAGGTGGGTTAGAAGCTAGGACTTCTGGGTTCCATTCCCAGAAGAGCTGGCTAACCAGGACCCCTTTGCTGCCCCCTCTTTTCTCTGCATCTCTTTCAGCTCTCTATGGGACTCAAGGCCACTGGGATGGAGCCTGAGATGAGCACCTACAACCCCTTCTACCTCCCCTGCAGCATGGAGGCCGGGGATCCTGCCAGCACACAGGGGCCATTCTCTGCCATGGGCCAGCCCAGCTGGGGCCTAGAGGGGAATTCAGCCCAGCAGAGCCAGCTGCCCAGGGCAGCGGGGGGGCCCTTTGGGCTTTGGCCCCAGAAGATCGAGCCAGCCCCCCGCAGGCTGGACCCCTTTGCCCAAGCCTTCCCTAACCCACCTTTTGGGAATCCATGGGTACTGGGGACCCAGGCATCCAGGAGCCCGGGCTGCAGCCTGCAGGAGATAATGGCCCAGCCCCCCCCTGCCATTCCACAGGAGGGATACCCGCCTGGCAGTCCCCTGCTGCCGCAACTCCCTGGAGGCCAGCTGGAGGGGTCAGGGCCTCCTCTGCCCTACTGCAGCCTCCCAGCAAGGCAGGGACAGGGTGGAGGTGGGTATGGGCAGCACTGCAGGGAGACCCCCCTTCCGTGCCTGTACCAGGAGAACCAGCCTGCTAGCTACAGCCCCCCGGGGGGCTATCCGGGGCCTGGTGAGTGACAGGAAGGGAATGGGGGTGGCTACAGGTGCCCAGGAGATGGGGGAGGAGGCAAGATGGGGGCAGCCAGCTGCAGGGGAGGTTATGGGACTAGGGAATGTTCCCAGGGGCTATGTGTGTGCGGGGGGGGGGGGGGGGGGGGGGAGGCGGAAGGACTCCAGCTGAGGGAGCTATGGGGAGGGGAGACACCCCTGTGATGTGTAGGTCTAGGAGGATGGGGGTTATGGACACGGAGTATATGTGGAGGGGCACCGGACCCAGTGTCAGTTATGGAGCAGGTGGGGAAACTCATCTCAAGGGGGTTCTGGGGCCTACTCTGGGGTTACAGGAAATGCAAGGGAGGGCCCCAGCTTTGGGGGGAGGCTGCTGGGATGTAAGGGGGGGACCCCATCTCTTTGCTGTTACAACCTAACCTTCCCTCCCTGTGTACCAGCTCCCCAGGGGCTCACAGGCCCTGAGCTATATGCTGGACTCCTGGGACCCTCAGACTGGCCCCCTGATGCCACCTCCAGTCTCTGCTGCTACCAGGTGTGTTGGCATGAGGAGGGTGGTGGGGAGATGGGGGCACCTGGTCCCAGGACCATGCTGCCAAGGAGGGGAGGAGTGGGGAGATTCCCCCAAGATGAGTGGTGAGGACAGTGGAGTCCAGTGGCTAGAGCAGGGCTGGTGCTGAGAACCAGGATGCCAGGGTTCTCCTCCTGGCTGTGGGTTTTCACTCCCCACACTGAGCCCCTCATCCCCTGCAGGATACTGAGCGCTACTGCAAAGGGCTGGAGTTTCTCCCTGCTGGTTTTACCCCATGGCTGGGGGTCTCCCCTGGGGAGCCGGAGTCAGAGGTTGCTGCTGCCAAGCTGGGGCATGAGCAGAGCCCCCCACTGGCAGGCTGCACTCCCAGTCCCCAGGTGAGTACACTGGAAGTTTGGGGGCTGCCTCACCTGAACCCTCAGGGGAGCATGGGTGGGGCAATGGAATCGGGGAGCCAGCCCAGGGAGCCCCCATCACAGTCTACAACCTTGTGCCCATTTGAGCACCTGATCACTCGCTGGAAGGGAGTGAGGGCGCCTGACTGGCGGCTAACACAGACACCGACAAGGAATAATCAGGGAAGGAGGGGGCGGGGGAGAGAGTCTTGCTGGTTGTAGAGTTGCCAACCCTCCTGGAGCCGCCAGGAATAACGAGCATGTTGTGTGAGTAGCCCAGGTTAGCCAGGCATTTCCCAGCACTGGGGGAAGGGAGTTGCTGGACCCAGCAGGGCTGGGGTGCCAGAGCTGGGGGGGACTATGACACCCCATTCCTCTCATCACCTGTTCACAGACTGGGCCCCTGCAGCCTCTGACTCCTCCTCTTCCCCACAGGTTTCTGGGAGTTCCCTGGCCTCCAGTTATCAGGGTACCCCGTATTGGAGTCAGATGCACCGTGCCACGAGTTCCCCACACTACACTCCGCCCCCCATGCTCAACCCACTGCGCCAAGGCACAGGGCTGTTTGCTGAGCTGGGTGCCTCGCTGGGTGGTAAGTGCCGATCCAGGCGAGCCCCCACCTTCTAATGTGGGCTGAGGGGCTTGACTGGTCATTTAGGAGCCAGGACTCCTGGGTTCTATTCCCAGATGTGGCAGTGTTGCCACAGGGCAGGGGATACGAGAGAGGGTCTTTCCCTCCATTGGGCCATATGGGGTGGGTCCCCGTGAGTGGTGGTGGTGGGAAGGTGGAAGTCCACAAAGATTTGTCTGGTGGCTACAAAGCTACAGGGAAGATCCTGCAGGGCCCGGGAGATGGCAGGGGGTAGGAAAATCTGTCTCAGGGCAAGTGGGGGACTGCCTGTGCCAGGGGCCTTCACTGCTGGACTCTTCCCTCTGCAGATGGCAGCCCTGACCGCCTCCGGCGCCTGGACACCCCGTAAGTCCTGTCTTGTGGGGTGGAGGGAGCCTAGGCTACATCCTCAGTGGCAGTGTGGCAAAGGGGTTGGGTTAGATATCTCCTGGGGGAGGGAGGATTCCTGTGCGGGGGAACTGGCTGGTCAGGGAAGGACAGTATCAGGGAGGTCTCCTCACTTGCTCCTTCCCCCACAGGCAGATAAACGTGGGCCCCGCATTCCAGCCAGTGCTGCCAGTGCTGCAGGACCCCCACCTGGCCTGGCTGCCCCCGCCCCAAGCTGAACCTGTCTGGAGGCCCTGGCCCAGGCTGGAGCAGGATGCAGAGACCCAGCGCCAAGGTGAGCGGCAGCACTGGAGATATCAGGTGGAGGAGCTATTTAACAGGCAGACCTCTATGTCCCTTATAGTGAGGTGGGGGGAGGGGAGAGGCAGCAGGACAAGCCCACCCCTATGGCTTCTCTGGGGCTCTGTCGGCAGGATCCAGTCAACCCTGACTTTTGTGGAAAAAGGGGGTTGTGAGGCATCTGTGATAGTGACACAGCCCCTAGCCCGGGTGGTGCAGCAGATGGTGCCTGAGGGGCTCCCATCAAGTGGGGAAAGGGTCTCAGGGCCCACGTGGTGGCTGCTGTCTGGGTGCAGCATGAGGGATGGTGGAATCCCAACTGATGGCTACTGTCTGGGGAATGGAGGAGTCCTATGAGGTGGGTGTCCCCATAGACATCTGACAGTTGCTGTTTGGGTGCAGTGAGGGCATCCATGGGCCTTGGGGCAGGCCTATATATCCTTTACAGTGGATGGAGCATTCCCAGGGCCCAGCTGCTGTCTGCTGTCTGGCTGCAGAGCAGGATTCCTGTGACGTAGTGGGGGTACTTGCTGGGCTGTGGTGACCTCTGCTGTCTGGAGCAAGACCCAGCAGGGAAAACCTCACTATGCAAAGGTGATGCCAAACCTGTTGAACCAGATAAACCCCATGGAGAGGAACAAAGGAAGGGGGAATGCTGCCCTGGCTGGGGGGCAGGGCTGGAAGAGAGTTAGTTAGAGTGGCTGGCTGGGAGCATGGAGGAGACAGCCTAGGGAAAGGGGCTGGAGTTTAGGGGCCCAGTCTCCCCCCATCTCAAGGGGGCCTGAGGCATCCTAGCCCAGCTCTGTGACCAGATTACATCTGTGCTGTGCTGTATCCTGGAGAGGGAATAAAGTTCCTCTATTCCACCGGCTGGTGCAGTCTGTTTGTGCCATTTCGGGGCTGCAGGAGACGGGGGACCCCCAACGCACCGTCACAATTCCCTCTAAGCTGCATGGCTACACAGCTGTCTAATAAGCCCCACACAGCGGTTCGGAGATGCTGCACACAAAGCTACTGTGGCCAGGCCAAAGTGCATCTGTTCCCTGGCCATGGCAGCTCTCTGCTGGGGCTGGAGGAGCATGCCTGTCCCCTGGCCACAGCAACTCCTTGTGTGCAGCCTCCAGCCCCAGCAGCAGGGCTGGAATAAGAAAGTTGCTTTAGGGAGTGCAGGCACTAAACCCCCTGTATTATGGGCCAGCCCTTCCTGGTGTAGGGGAGGGGAGACCTCTGGGCGCTGCTGTTCCTCCCCCTTCCCCAGCTGGAACTCTGTCCCTTAGCTGCCCTGAGACTCCACCACCCAGCTCCCATTGGGCCAGTAATCACAGCGAGCTGCATTGGTGGTGCCTGCAGGTTAGCATGGGCTGCACAAAAACACCTGTTCTCCCCCCACCAAATGGGAACTGCCCCAAGTAAGCGCCCTGCACCCCACTAAGAACATCCATGTGTTTGACAATTCTGTTCTCTACTATAGTTTCAACCAATTTGCCTGTTACTGAAGATTAGATTTACCAACCTGTAATTGCCAGGATCATCTCTACTGCCCCTTTTAAAAATTGGTGTCACATTAGCTATCCTCCTGTCATTTGGTACAGTCAATACCAAAGGGTAGGTAACATCATATCAAAGGATAGGTAACCAAAAGAGGATAGGTTACAAACCAGAGTTAGTAGTTCTTTAATTTCACATTTGAATACAGGCAGTCCCCGGGTTACGTACAAGATAGGGACTGTAGGTTTGTTCTTAAGTTGAATCTGTATGTAAGTCGGAACTGGCGTCCAGATTCAGCCGCTGCTGAAACTGATCAGTTTCAACAGCGGC